AATGTTTTGATGTAGAAATCATCTTATGAATTTATTTCTTTGAGTTATTCTACATCATCCTTCTGTTTTGTTAAGGTGCTTTTGTTTCTTTTACTAATTGTTCCTCCAGTACAAGGCCCATGAACCACACAAGGTAGAGAGTTACTGATTGAGGTTGTTGCATATAAGAGGAGGGAAAGAACACATTTTTAAGAGAATAGGTAGGAAAGATATCTGTTAACCCTAGACAAAGAGGTTACGACTTTAGCTATCAAGGAACATCCTATTGAGAGTCAGTTCTACAAAGCAGCAGATCCTTGGAAGAAGCTGTCAGAATGGAACTTCTTTCTTACTAATGGAATACAAAGGGAATGAGAATGATTTGTTCCAGTCTACATGATATGGCAGGTCTTAGCTGGGCAGGTCAGGGCTGGTGTCATTAAGAAATGTAACTGATCAGAACATTCACCATGGAAATAGTGATAGAGTAGCAAGAAGCTTGCAACATTTTGATTTTGAGCTTTGGGTTATATCACAGATATACTAATGCCTCTATTGGACCATAGAGAACTCTCTCTTATCAAGCACCCTGTTAATTCCAACAGCCATGATCTATCTATACAAATGTCAGATTAGACAAAGGATAAAATATTGCCACTACATCTTGGCTGAAGCTATTTGTTCTCACTGTCCTGCCTTGACAGAGTTCAAAAGTGATTACACAGCCATGTGGGCGATGAATTATTTTCCACCCTACAGCCCGTTTCCCATATTCAAAGCCATGCTAGTCTCTCATTACTTTATGACAAATGTTCAGATGAGCTACATTCTTTAGTTCCATTTGTTCAGACCTTCACTGCTAGGACCCACCATGCCACGTACGCAGTGCAAAATCAGCCTCATTCCCTTTGTATATCTAAGGTAAGTCAGAAGTTCCATTCAGACTGACTCTTCCCCAGAACTGTCACTTTGTGGAACAGACTCCTGAGGAGATGCTTCCTCAACCATTACAATCTTAACTGCTTCAAGTCTAGGATCAACTAACATCCTCCCTACCTATTTTCATAATATACCCTTACAACAATCTCATTTAGTAACTGTCTACCTTGAGTGGCTCTTGGACCTTGTATATATATATATATATATATATATATATATATATATATATATATATGAACACACACATACATATATATGCACACATATATACATATATATATATATCTACATATAAATACACAGTGATATCTATATATGCACACACACACATTATATATAAATATACATATATACACACATACACACATATATATACATATATATACACGCATGTATGCATAGATATATATACATATATATAAAATATATATACACACATATATATATATATATACATATGTATATATACATATATATACAGACACAAGCAAACACATACATACACACATATAACACAAAATATATTTTTGCAATATTAAAATAAAAAATGACTAGATACTCACTAGTTGACATTCTTATGTGGTGTGTATGCAAGGAAAAGACCAGCATATGCCTAGATGCAAATGATCGTTTTGAAATAAATCAGAGGTCAACAAATTATTGCCTGTACTGTAATCCAGTACATCATGATTTTTCACATACTTAATTGACCATAAGAAAGTAGTAAGTTTTATAAGATTTTTCCTTTAAAATTATTATATATATATATATATATATATATATATATATATATATTTTAATGTCTTTTTTTTATTTATGTATCATTAAAGATCTCACATCAGATGTACAACTTCAAGTGACCATCAAGCAAACCAAAGAAAAAAAATAAAGACGGAAGTTAATTGGTTTTTATAATTGTTTCATTTAATGAAGCATATTCTGCTTTAAAATCTTTTAGAAAATGAATCTTAGAATCAGAACAAAAGGGTTGAAAATTCTGGAACACATGATAAAAAGAAGAGAGCCTGGAGAATTTGACACTCACAGGGCATAATGAAAGCAAGAGAAGCAAAAAAAAAAACAGCATTTAACCTGCTTGATGAGTTTATGGAAATAGATGACAGAACAAGGACAAGGAGTTTTGGTAAAAGATCAAAAGTTACAAAGAACAAAAATAAGAAGTTGTAGAGAAACATGATTGCTATCATCTCAAAACGACATGACACATAAAAATAGAATTATGAGATATTTTCAAAAATGACTCTTGCATATTAGTTTCTCATAGTTAAGCAACATTTACAGTCAATTTTGATGAGAACACAAACCCCAGTCATTTTGTAACAAAAACTGTACGAGTCTGTCAAAATCACAGACACTGATAGAACATGGATTGTAAAATTTTGCAGTGAGATATACTTTCTTGGCCATATTAAATGGACAAAAAAAAAATATTGTTATTTCAGTTGTAGTATAGTCTGAGTTATTACAAATATAAAGTTTTTAAGAAATTGTGAAAAAAAGTGAAAGTAAGAATATTATTCACTTGCTTACTACTTTTGTGTATGTCTTATGAAAAGAGCAGCCTTAATGTCTTGGGGTGATAGACATCTGCAGATGGCCAACCAATAACAAGAGACTGTGTTACCTCATTTGAGATAGAGAAAATTCTCAACATGAATGTATTTTTTCTTTCAATTACACCCATACCCACAAACACTTAAATTCACACCTATAAATTATTCTTTTACTTTCTTTTTCTTTGCAAATAAATATTTTATTCAACTGAACTATGTTTTAATAATGTGTGACTTTAAACAAGAAATTTGATATTTGTCTATATTTCTGAGATGAGCTATTTTAACTATTTACACTGTTTGGACTATTGTCCTTGCCTTCATTGTCATATTCATGTTTCGGCCGTTGTACACTCTGACAATCTTCAGGTGATATACTTTAGAATAAAAGCATTACTTGTGAGTTCAATGCAAGGCTACAGCAGAGGTCAATAAAAAAACTTAAGGAGTTGAGTTACTAAAAGGGAAATAACTGAAACTAAGATATCCAGAAGAGGCATGGCATGTGGAACTAGAACAGTCTACCCCAGAGGATGAAATCAAGGGTTCGGTTCAAAATTCCAGCATATATAACCTGAAGAAGGCCGGAGCATACAGAAATCAAAACATAGGAAATATGACAATGAAGATGAGGACAATAGCCAAACAATATAAATAGTGTGAGAATTTTGATTGCAGAAAAAACTTTTGTAGAAAAAACAAACTTATTTTCATAACATTGAGTAAGAGTTGTAACCTAGGGAAGGTTACTGAATAGAATAATCAAATAAAAGTTGGTAATGAATGATAATACTTAAGACAAGAACAACACATATAAGATTTGTCAGCGGCACATAAAAGAAGTAGTCAACTGCTATAACTGCAGGATAGCTGCCGACCACCCCACGCAGTCAGATGTGGCACAAGGCCAAATTTAATGTGGGGTATCTGAGCTCAGCCAAAAATTCCCTGTGGACCCTGTTTAATAAACGTGATCGGGTAGCTGTTTCCCAAGATGATACTCTGCCCTTTGAAATAGACTCATCTGAGAATCCTCTCAGCCTCAAGGCAGAGAGTTTGACCAGCACAGCTTGAGATGAATATCCAACTGCAACCCAACATATAGTATTTACTACTGTATTTATGTGACATATTTTCTGTAGGTATGCTACAACAGTAAGCTTCTTGTATATATTGGTTTTATACTTTTAAATCACCTAATTTCTGTAAATGTTTATCACTGAGTTCAATATTTACATATTTTCCATGCTGAACTTGTCTTTTCAAATGTCTCTCACATTCATTTGAGAGTTTGCATGATTTTATCAAAAACTGTTTTGCTGATAAATGTATGTAACCATTTTTACATTGACTCTTTTTGTGAGTCAGGTTGTTTAAAAGAAATTTAATCTAACTTCACTAACACAAATTTCAACCTACAGAAGTTTCTTTTTTGCTAATGAACTTTCCCCATCTAAGGCCATTTTTTTCATATCTTCTTAGAAAATTCCTTTTTAGTAAAAACATAAAGGAACAGAAGAAAACTGGTCAAAAGCTTCCTTAGTTGTTTGAAACTGACCAGTTTAGTTCAAACATGCTTTTATATTTCAATAGAAAGCAGAAATTCAGAACCATAGTTTAATATGACTTTATCACAGAAGAATTTCATTAACTCTTCATTTCAAACCTTTACTGCTCAACAAAATGGATATTTTTGTAGTCATTTTATAACCTGTTTATGTTATAATTTTTGAATAAATAATATTTGCTTTACTCTGTATTGAGTACTCTTTTAAGAATAGTGTTTTTGGTTATTGGAATTTTCTTCTGTCTACACCAATCTTGTCTATATATATATATATATATATATATATATATATATATGATAATCCTGGCCAGCATTGCCCTTGCAATCTGTTTAGGTGAAAGCTAGGTAGGTTTGCCTGGTTCCTTAGGATTATTTTAGGTTTGCTCTACTCTGTGTATTGAGCACTTTATGTAGTTGCCTTTTACTCATTTTAGAGGGTTTTTTTTATTTGGACTTTGAGCTTGAACTCTGGACGATTGTTTTCACCTTAGTTTTATGTTCTTGGTTCTTTTCTTTTTTTTTTATTCCTCATTTTTCCTTGCATACTGGTTTGTTTTACTACAAGTCAAAATATACAAGGTTTTTCCAAGTGAGTACCACCATTTATATATATATATATATATATATTAGTTTTATTTTGAGTTTATCTTGCCCATATCCCAAAAATGTTTGTAGTCCACTGAAATGAATCGTTAAGTAAAATGGTCAGTAAAAAAACATTGCAGCAGTGGAAAAGCATTTTCTCCTTTCCTTTCTTCTCTTTCAATTGTTGCAACAGGCTGACTATGGATTTTGAAGTCATAATTTTAAATTGTCTTTAACTTCATCTTTCTTGTTAATATTCTTCATTATTGGCTAGATTACTGAAAATATATTTTATCTTCCTCTAAAATGATAAACTTTAATTTTAGGAATTCAAATAGATGCAAAATCAATTTTACCGCTTCCAATCATGCTTGGCTTGTTCAGCAAGTTCTTCATGCAGTTCTTCAAGGCGCTTCAGCCACTTTTCTGATTCTTCTTGTTGTTGTGTGATTTTTCTGTTCCGGTAATCTCTAATCTAAAAATGGAAGAAAATTAAGAATGGTTTTGAGTATGTGTTCATAATTGTGATTACGATATTAGATACCAATAAATTAAATATAAAATTAACCAATGATCATGATAATTTGCCAGTTTGTCAAAAAAAAAAAAAAAAACTACTAGAACGTATATTCCTGTAATAGTTTCTAAGGGTGGATCTCTGTGAAATCCTTTTCTCAAATTTTTTGAGATGAATAATTATCATTATTATATGTTTTGCTCCTCTTCATTATTATACTCGGACCATTTCAATTATTGTACTTTCAGCCTTCTTCAGGCGTCTGTCATTATATTCTTTCTTGGAATTTCAAAGTAAAACCTTTATTCAAACTGCAGGGATAAATTGGTCTCATTCCACTATCTATGCTTAGGGGAGATAACTCATATCCGTTAATACTCACCAGTCTCATATTCACCTACTCAAATAGAATATGTAACTTTTCAACATGACCAGATCTACAGATTGTCTAATCTAGGGTTTTGCAAACTGTTGATCCCAACCCTTCAGTGCATTGTGAGATAAATAAAATGAGTCACAACCAAAAAAAAGCAAAGGAAAAAAATTACGCAGACAAAAGCAAAGTGCAGAATATAAACAACTCTAAATGTTGCACAGTACTCAGAAATCATTACTAGTTTTTCACCGAAATAAGCTTGTATTATATTTTATTTTTTTTTTTAATTATATATATATATATATATATATATATATATATATATATATATATATATATATAGTTTGTTCTCATTGAGTTTATGAATTTTGTTTGTCAGATTTGTTGCAGACTGAGTGACGTTAGTTCTCTTTCACAAAAAGACCTTGCACCAAAACTTAGCAAGAAAAGTGTGCAATGCATTCATCTTCCTGACAGTGAAAACTGTTAAAAGGTTGTTGAATAATTCAGTTACATCTGAAGTCAGGGCTAAAAGTGAATTTCCCGTCTCAATGACGAAGTCAAGTTCTGATACATTCTTTCTGTGGTAGTAAGATGATGCGTTGTGTTCATTTGAAGTCTTGAAATTTTTGGTGAATAGGCTGTTGTTTTGGTGAAATTTAAGAACAGGCTAGTTTTTTAAAAGTAGTAATTGTATATTAATACAAATATATACATGCAATTCTGATGTGTGCAGATCATAAGAAACATATATATATATAAAATGTTGATGCTAAATAAATGAACCTTGTGAACAAACTTTGTCTTTGACTTATTACACATTGGTATAATGGGTCACAACGTGGTTTTTTTCACAATGTGGTTTTTTTCTGTGGGTCACAGTAAAAGAAGGTTTTGAAAAATGCTGGTCTAAGAAACCCACAAATTAGTGGATTAACAAATTGGTTAAAAAATATCTGGTTTGCAGACAATTGCAACTCCAAAACTCTAAAAAGATTACCGAGTACAATGAGAGAGAGACTTCTGAAGAGAGATGAAGAGAAAAATGTCCAAAACATAACAATCAAGATGAACATACTAGTCTAATAGTAAGTAATATAATAATGAACCCTCATGGAAATCATTTTTTTTATCATTTCACGGAAGGAAGGAATTTCATTAGTATACAGGGGAGTACAAGGAGTGAAAGTGAAAGAAAAGATTGAGTATAGGGAAAATTGAGGAAAGGACAAAAGATGAACAGGATTCAAGAAGATAGAAGATGGTGACTGATATTGCATTTAAATTTTTACAGATTGTAGCTATCAGGGAAGCAAGTAAACACAACGGAGTTCCACAGGTAGGAAGTACAAGAAAAGAAACTCTTGGAGTAGAAACAGCAGTTGCATTTAACTATTTGAACAGTAAAGGGTAGGACCTATATGCCACCCTAGTAGCCCACTTAAAGTTATGTAGTTGGGGCATCAAGGAAGATAACTAATCAGAACAGTTGACATGAAAATATTTGTAGAAAAGACAGAGGGAAATCATGCTGCATCAGTGAAAAATTGACTGAAGTTGAGATGCCAAGTCATGATCCATTATATTGCAGATCTTTCTTTGGATTTTGTCAAGAACCTCAAGATGAATAGCAGGAACATCAAACCAGATAAGGCAACAGTTTTCAATGCATGGACAAATGGTAGATTTGAAAATGTGCAAGATAGATTCTGACGAGAATATTTTTCTGGCACAATACAGGGACCTAACTTTCCTTGCAGTAGATGCAGCTATCTACCAGCACAAGGAGATTAACATATATACAATTAACAAAATCGAGATATATTTGCTAGGTTACTTGTTACAAGTTAGGTGTTAAGTGTTTAACCCATTTAATATAAATGTAATTTTAAATTATATTTAGGCAGTAACTGTCCTTTTAAACATGTATTGTTAAAAACAATAGAAATTTGTGTCTATTAAATCTAATAATCTTTTTTTCTTATGTACAAATAATCTTTCACAAATATTAACCAAAATTCATGTTGTATAGTTTAAGGCTTCAACTCACCAGAGTCATCATCAGAGAGTGGAAGTAAGAAAAGACAATCAAGTGTTTTAAGAAGTAGAATGTATTATTATTTTTTGAAAACTAAATTGAAAGCAGCTAATAAGTCATATGGCACCAATGTGTAACGTAATAATATTTTAATATGAGGCCTGGTAAAAAAATTATCTGGACTGGTGTGATAAAAAGAAAACTACAACAGATATCAATTTTGTCATTTAATCTCCTTCAAAGCAATCCCCTTCTGAAGCCACACACTTTATCCAGCACCGTTTCCATTATTGGAAGCATTCCTGGAACCCCTTTATTGAGATAGTGAGCAATTGCATCATTGAATTCTCTTGGATTTCCTCAACGTCTTAAAAATTTTGTTCCTTTCAAGCGGGATTTGATATTAGAAAAGAAAAAAGTCACAAGAGTCAAATCTGGGGAATGGTATCTGGGTTGATGGTTGTCGGACCTAGGGAATATTGTACTTGGCCAAAAACTGCTGCATAAGCCATGGTCACTGATAGAACTTCTGTTATGTGATAAAACGACTACACTCTACACACTTTCCTTCAAAGCATTGCTAATAAACAACAGAAATAAGTGAGACCATTATAACTCAATGAGTATGTGTAACAGAGTTCAAGGTCAATCTGTGCCAAGCATCTTCACTCTGCAAATATTACTTCCATTACCATAGCAACAGTCCTGATACTTTTTATCAGATCCCATATGCTTCAAAATATCACTATTTCTATTTATGGATGTTGCTGAAGTTGCATGCAAAAGGCTTCTAGAAACTTTTACAGTTAGATTTATAAAATATTGTAGCATTATGAGAAAGGAGTTGTTTAATATTATTGTAATTATTATTCCTTTAATATCATTCCCAGTTATCCTTTTGTCAATTAATCCTTCAAAACCTCTCTTCCTCTACGTTTCCAACTCAATAACACTTTTTTCTCAATCCCACACGATAATCTGCCTCTTTCTTCTTTGCTAATTAGACAAATATAGATTAACTAATTCAACAATTGAACTGAAACAAAGGCTTTAATTCTCCTAGACTTTTTTTTATCTTGAAGCACATTCAAAATATTTGTACTCAATGAGACATCCTTTGTCAGTCTGTGAGCTAATTGTTCACTATGAGAAGAGTGCTATTTCCTCTTTTTCAATCATTTCTCAAACAAATAACATTTCCACCCATAGTCTGATGTTACTAATTCTTTTTTTATTGTCTTTGCTACTTCACTTTCAGTATTCCCCTCATTTACATGTTTGCCAGAACATTTACCAGATTTAGAAATCAGTTTTGCTATAACCTAACCATTTTCTTGAAACAATTTATATTGGACCTCCATATTCTTTTCAAAGTAGTATTTTTATTCAATGTACAAGCTGTATTACTTTTGTGTTTTGGAGGTCTTCTTCTATTTCATGGTACCATTACAGTTTTTGAATCTGAAACTTATATGCTATTTTTATTCTCAATATTGTCCTTATCTTGGGTTTCATGTACATAGTCACTATCACTCACTTTCTTTTATCAAACTGTTCTTAGCTATATTACATTGTGAAGTTTTAGTGTCTGAAGTTGGTGCAACCTGATCTATTTTAGTGGAACTTGGTTGAATTGGTATTTCTAAAAACAACCTACATGGATGTACACTGATATAAATACCTCCATGTTTGACCAGAACTTCTCCATCCTGACCAATAACAACTGTGGGTTTACTCTATAAGTCGTTCTCTTGTAGAAGGCTTTGACACTAGTAAAACATATTTAATATCACCACGCATTGTGATGAAGTGCATGACAAAGCTTTTCAGAAGACTAACTTGAAATAAAGGCCTGGCTGGCATTTTGTAGAGCATTGAGATTGTTCTGAAAGATCTGTTAGGATCCATCTACCCAGGTTTTTGTTGCTGAATGCTGGGATTCCTAACATATAACAAAAACAGCAACACATCTTTTAAATGAAACATATAATGGAAAAGTAGAAGCAGAACATCAATTGAAATAAGATTTATAAATTCTTTTCAGAAATATATAATAGCAACAAAATGTTCAATTTTCCTTGAAGTGAAGTTTGTTTTATCACGTAATTAATTATTGTAGTGCTATGCGAAATGTGTGAACAGACTTACTTTATGACAGTCAGCCTAATGTGAATAGACAAGTCATTAACTGCTGGCTATTCTATTTTGTGTGTATGTGTATGCATGTGTAGATCAAACTGGCCTTCTTTGTTAAAAAACCCTAAGAAGCAGTATGCCTCTATCTTTATATCTGTAAGAGGGATCCAAAATATAATTTCAAGTGTGAACTTTTGTGAATTAGTTAGGAAAATAATAATTTCACAGTGAAAAAATCTTTTTTTATTGAATTTGCAGGAGTGATGAAAGGAGCTTTTGCTGTTATTTTCTGAATGTTAAAAAATAATACATGGTAGGTCTACAGTAACGACCACTAAGTATTTTGGTGGTATTTGCCCTTGTAATTATTGTTTATCAAACAAACCTTCTGATAGGATTTTATTAGTT